ATCTCCCTCCAAACGCTGTAAATCATTGAGACAAAACAATAAATACAAGTACGGGTACAGTGCACACTTGCAAAATTATATTTACAGATTTTGATTGATATAAATTATATATTATATTCATATAAATTATTTTTTAGGACTACAAATTTAGAATGCACAGTTATGTTAATGCTTTGAGGAGAAAAGGTATCAATATTGCAAAGTGAGCATGTACTGGGTTGATGTTATGCAAATTGATTATCAATTGTTGATTAACTCGGGTAAATTGGACCAATTGTAGGAAATATTTGCCCAAGATTGGCTCTCTTTATCCAAAAGAGTAGAAAAACACACCTGCCCATCATACGACTCTTTATAATAGTGGAAATTAATCCTCTCCTTCACAAGTACTTTTCATCGTTGGCCGTATAGTACAAACAAAACGAAAAACACTCAAAATGATGTAAACCGACACTCTAAAAGAGTTCGAAAAAACAACCCCAAAAGGTTGGCCTCCCCAGTGATCTTTAATCAAGTGTATTTTTTCTTCCACACTGAGACGCTAAAGACAGTTGATAATTAATTAAACTCAAGATGGGCAGTAGATATACAGTAGTAAAGCAGGTGGTATTTTCTCTTCTCCGGGCAGAATTGTAAATACTCTTACTTGTAAGCATATTTTTTTTTAAATAATAGGAACAAAAATTGAGATTTTAAAAACCCGGACATGTGTTCATTAATAATTCATGTCACTGTTTGCAAACAGGAGACTCACAGGGTATGCGCGAAACGTTGAACCTAATGGTTCTTTTCAGCACGTGACTCACTCTAAAAGAGATTTATAAACATGGTATTGCCACAAACCTGCATTTCATTGCTTCGTCCACCATAAACACCTTCAAATCATGTTTGAACTTAAATGACTTTTTGGCATAAGCTGTTTGGCAAGAAACGCCCGGGCATTGCTATAAATATGCTTGAGTTTAAATTACAAGATAAAAAATAAGAAATTGCACTAAAATTAATGATTTTTAATCAATCAATTTGTCCCTACAAGTTTCTCCTTACTGTACCGAATGAACATTCCGACTCCACACAAAGTTTATCTCTTCAAGACTAGAAATTTGTACGATTGTCGATGGGGGCTCTCGAATTTAGAGAATTTTGATTTAGTGAAATTTTTTAGTTGCCAGGAATAAAGATCCTCAAGCCTGTCCCAAACATCTTAAGTTATAAATTGTGATTTCACTGATCAACGTTTCTCGTTAATCTTTTCCCCTTTTTCTTTTATAAAAGGATTTTTAAGTGGCATTCGACGCTATGGACTTTGGTATGCACGTATATTTTGAATCACTGTGAAGCTTCATGCTTGTAATACAGACAATCCAAACAATGATCTATGATTTTCCATCACAATGTGGCGAGAGTCACCAAATAACCAACGAGAACACAAAGTCAAAGAATTTATGTACATTTTTTCCACGTTAAATAAAATCGTTTTTATATACTAACTACAAAAAGTAGGATCGGCTGCCGGGCTACTTTCGCATGAGCATGACCGATACACTACAACTGGTCAATGGTTCCACGCCAGTTCTGCAGGAAATTCTCTCGACGGACGCAGTGGGCATAGAAAGTGTCCCGTGCCACTCGAACAAACACGCTCGGACGCCTTCATCCCTGGCTATTCCTCGGAGTTCCTCGTGTTGGTCGGCGTAGCGGTTGTCGATGTAAAGCAGAAGTGCACCCGGTGTCATCTCTCGGAAAACCCTTCGGAGCTTGTTCCCATGAGCAGGGTCCTGTCTGATGAAAGCAGCCACGGCTGAGAAGGACTTGACCATGGTGATAATATCTGCTGATTTGACTGCAGCCACTCCTGTAGTGCTCAGGCAGGTGTATTTCGATGTCATGTCACCCTCAAGGTATTTCATGTTCACTGGGAGCTTATCAGCGTTGGACCTTTGCACGATTTCCCACTCGTTCCTCCACTCAAGGTACAGATCAAATATCGTGCATTCAAAACGGGTAATGGGAATGAACAGTGGGCTGTCTTTGAGGAACTTCACCAGGCCCACAACATCAGAACCAGGTCCCCCGCCGATACAACACACGTGGAGGTAGCCCCTCCTTCCCCAGTTCCGAAGAACACCTTTATGATCTGCAAGCGACTTCTGCAATCCACAGTAGACAATGTAGGATTGCATAGCGAAGAAACGGCAAATATATGCTTGGCGATTGTTGCCATCCTTCCAGTCGGGTCTTGTGCTTGTGTTACCGAGGCACTTTTTGTAGATGGTTGAAACTGACTTTACGGAAGATGGTATTCCTGCATCGATGTCAGTATTTTCGAAATAGTTTTTAACGATGTCGACACAGTGATTTGCTACAAATGTGTCATCAGCTAGTTCCAAAGCAGCACGCCAAAACCCGTTTCCTGTTTGATCCTTCTCCAACAACGCACGCAAGATCACAGCCAACTCTGTCCTGCTAAAAGCCATGATGAACCTCCTCCAAATGAATTCGAACATGAAATGAGTCGTACCAAGGCTGCATGCACATACATACGTACGCCGTATTATTTTATAGCGCAAAACGCAAAAGGTAACGTAATCGTGTTTCAACAGCTAAGGGGGAAAACCCGAGCTACCTAAAATAGCACAATGACTCATCACTCACTTCTCCAGACGCCGTGTTTTTTCATTGCACAATTGTCGGGGATACACCATGTACCGGTACTTTCCAATGTGAAACAGTTCTCGCTATAGTCTTCAGGGGAGAATAGTCTTCACGTCTTGTGAAAGCTCCCCTGTTAAAATGTACAACTGAACTTGCTAATGAAAAAACTCCGAGAGCCATCATTGTAGTCTTTATTCAAGTCGAGTTTCCCCAGCATGCTGTGGAAAAAATATTCGCTTTCAGATACAACAGGCATGACATCACACCGAAGAGCCAAGGCTCTATGGCATCAGTGCAACACTATGACCGTGTATGGCTGACAGCACAGCTACTACCAGCTACTTAGGTGCTGTAGCAAATTTTGCTAAATCATTATTTTGCGTAATTATCATATTCTTGAACTGGGCCTTTGGAGAAACGTTTCTTCAGTTTACTATTGCACCCCCCCCAAAAAAAATCAGTACAAAAATGACAGATTGTGAACAAAGCTTCAAATTGATGTTTGTCGCAAAGTTCATGGTAAGTCATATTTAATACGATTCCTTATTTGTGTTTGTTTGCTTGTTTGCTTAGGTGGAGACGCTTATTTCAGGCCTCCGTGGTACGCTATATACTCGCAATGATTTGCGGCACCTATTGTTACGAAATGTTTGAATGATGAAAATTAATTCATCATCCCATGTAGGCAGCATACCAGCTAAATTTGACCACTGTGGCGAGGTCACCAAGTCTAGTTCTCGAACCAGACGATTCAAACTGTTTGGAAAATGTCTTAAGGTCTAGCACCCGCCACGGTCACGTGACAAAAACCGGAGGAATCTAGCTGTTTACGAAATTGGAAGCCCTGATCCGGGCCAGGGGTTCAATGCCATATTTCTTCGATTCCCCAATTCCATGGCTCTCAGGACTCTCTAATATAGAATATTTCGAGTGTACAACTTTTATCAATGAGCTCGGCGGACATATTTCTGGCCTTTTTGCGTGGGTGCACCCCTAATCGCATACTGTGATTCCCATGGCCACGGTCGCTTAGCTCCTGACATGTCTCAGTTTGATGTGGAGAAATAAACAGCGCCATCTAGGGGCTCTGTGGATCAGCGCATAATTCATTATTACGAATTAGTATTTCGTTACTTCGAATTACTAATTCATTAAAACGAATTAATGTCAGGCTGAAAATTTATACTTGGGCTTTCGTATTTTAGTGGACAACTGCCTGCCCTCATAATGCGACAGGGAATCAGCCTAGAAATTCGTAATAACGTGGATGGCGCAACCTCGAACAGACTTCCGGCTATGTGGTGAGCATAGACATACATAACCCATTTATGTCTGTGGTGGTGACTAACAAAAAAACACGCCCCCTTACTGTTCAGCCTGAAGCGGGTACCATTCTTTCGGTGAACTTCAGGTTCGCACAAATTTACACTGCATGTACTGATCATGTATAGGGCACCAGTTCACACTCATCTTTTGATCGTAAAAGAGACCTAAATACTGGGTCAGTGATTACCTGACCTGGGACATTTGAAAAAGCATGCGTGCATCTGATGATAAATTATCGTGTTAATCATAAACAGAGAGTGGCAGTTGAAATGGAACATAGGCCCTATCACATTATCATGTCTCAGAGCAAATCGAAACTGGTGATTTTAAAGGACGTGTATGTGGCAACTTGATTACCAATATTGTTGACTCCAATGTTCGGCACGTTAATAAGTACTAACAAATATCTACACTCTCATCCCCATTGCATGGACCTAATGCTATCGACCAGGAATGAAGTCTGAAATTAAGTGCCAAAACTTGCAGAAACAAATCGTTTATATTTCTGAGGATAGGCCTAAAAAATGACTCCTGGGGCGTCGTTAAACTGTAATCCGGAGACTGATCTCAGTTTTGTCACAGAAATTTCGTGAAGTGTTCACATTGGTGGGTATAGATGCCACAGAAATTGGAGAGTTTGCAGCGTCTCATGTGTATACATACCTTTGGAATTACCAAAACGAGGGGCGTAGACCACAAGTACCGCTAATATTCAGCACGTTTCAAGTAACCGATCCGCCATTGAAGTTTGATCCAATTTCTTATAACTTTCTTATAACTTGAGTTGTTTTGGATGGGTTTAACCATCCCGGGCCCTCTCAGAAAAGGCCAAGGTGGCGCTATATGTCATCAATAAAAGTACCCACATGAACTTGGACAAATCCAGAACCAAGTTTTAAGGTAGGGATTTTTTCGGGGGCGAGGCAGAAAGTTTTGGAATTTCAATGTGTAACCTGAGTGATAACATCTTGTTTGATAACACGGTCGGTTTATTGTTGCTACGTTTGTTTCATTTTCAGAATGAGGATGGATTCAACGGAAGTTAATGCCGCTGTCTTTGTCCGTGGTCTTTTGGGGAAGGTTCTGGACGACCTTCAAGCTGAGGTTGACGGGCCATCAAAGAATGATCGAATCAAACAGTCCATACAGAACATCTCACAAATGTACAAACAGGGACTCTCTCGGGCTTCCACTAATTTTCGATCTGACTGGAACGATCCGTCCAACCGCTGCGCATACGTGTTCTTGTACCTATTGCAACACTGTCACCTTGTGTACCACTCGATCCACAAGAGTGACATATCGAAAATGTTGTCGAAGAAGAAGAGGCTGAAGGTGTGCTGCATCGGCGGGGGACCGGGATCAGACGTGATTGGCCTGACTTCCTTCCTCCGTGAGAACAGCAGCCTTCAGCAATCCCTGGACTGTCTGGTCTTGGATCTGTATCCTACCTGGCGAGACACCTGGCATTTAATCCGCCGACACATGCCAGACGGACTCAATTTGAGTGTAACTTACCAGGGGTGTGATCTTGTCCAAGATTCATCGGTAGGGGGAAATGTGTTGGGATTCATCCAACAGGCTGACATGCTAACCTTTGTGAAATCCTTCTCCACAGTCTCTGCTTTCTTCCGAGCCGACTCGAGACGTGGGGATCTCCTCCGATCTATCCTTCAAGAAATAAAGCCCGACTGCTTTGTGTTGTTCATCGATAACAAACACTTGAGGGACAAAGAGTTCCAGCAGCAGTTTGCCTCCAGAGCGGGTCTGAAACTGGTGTTTGAATACCGCGGCACACAAACACTGCCAAATGTCGGTCCGTACACCACCACCATAAAAAAGTACAGCCGTCTTCTGGACTTCAAGCCACTGCGTACCTGTGATGTACTCATCCAAGTGTTTTGCAAAGAGTCAGTTGGTGCAGTCAGCAGAGAATCGCAGCCAGTTTCCCGTGACAGTCCGCTTCCTAGCAGCAGCACCACCACTACCACCAGCAGCGCACGCCGAAGGCCCGCACCTCCGCCTGCCCCATCGGTAGTGCGTCAGGCAGCCCCGCAGCGATGCCAATACCTTCTACAAAATTTCTTTGCGTACGAAAGAAGGGAACCAGAGATTTCTGAACCAGTACAACCTGCCAGACAGGGGCTATCTTCAGCTTCGGCCGGTATGTTGTTGGAGTCAGTGTTCTTTTGATCAGCTTTTTGCGAAATAAGTAAGCCTTTAACTGAGGCGTAAGATCGTTGACTTTAATATACCCTTTTTCTGGTTTTAGAAATAGTTCATAAACAATCGATCGTATAAGTGTAAAATTACTTTAAATTATCATAGTATAAACTTATGATTTTTTTCATCACCTTTTTCTGTACTTAAATATCACTATGTTGTACTTTATGCTATCCCACTTTTTATTGTTTTGACAAAGGGATTAAAGTAATTGTCAATTGAATGAACATGTGAAACAGAAAACGACTAAAAACGGATTGCTTTTGTATATAAACACCGCTGTTGTACTTGCTGTTGCCCACAGATATACGAGCCAAGAAAAGGCTAGAGTTACTGAATTATCTGGCTACCATTATCTGGAAGAAAACCTGCAGACGAACTAGGTTAATCAACACGAAACAGTGGTTTTTATAATCTGGTTTGTAAGAAAGTCTTGCGAAATACATGTTTAGCTTTTCTCCACATGCCGTACCTCTGTTGATTGGTTGTCTTCAGCCGAAACAATTTCTAATTCACTGTCGAATTATTTTGATGTACATTGTATATATTATCGCACCATGTGCCAACTTGGTACAAAAGCAATTGCATGTAATTGCTTTATGAAGTAGTGTTTCCCAAAGTCTATTTACTTTTCTTAAGAACACCCAAGTATTAATACCTCGGGAGAATTGACGATTGTTATGTGGCACATTTGCATTAAATTGAAAATGTTCATATATAGTGGCACGGATCACGTGCTTTTGTGCGATCTGAACACGGAATATAAAACATGAAATAACATATTGGAAAGATGAATTCAATGGATTAACGTTAAAAAGAATAGCTTCTGGTGAATTTAAGGCATGATAGGAACAAATTTGTGCTTTTTGATTAAATAGTGTATAGCCACTACTGAGTGTCAAGAAATAAGTGGTTTGTTTTGGTCGTGCTCTTAGGGGATCCACTCCCAAATGTGTCCTGTAGTGGATGCAAATTTATACACTTTAACGTATACACAAGTCATGGTTCCAGCTGACAGTTTTTAAAATCAATAATTAACATAGTTGGGGCTAAATTTAAAAAAAGTGGTCTGCTGGAAGTCCGTGTTTTGTTTTGTCTTGCTCTACATACCCGAGAGGAATCGTGAAAGCCACGACGAGCCTGGCGTTGCGCTCATCATGTCGATGTATTTGTGCGCATTTGGAACGAAGGCTATTGGGTTGCAGTGGGGGATTCCCCGGGTGAGCAATGTACTTGGCTTCCGTACTGAATAAGGATCGGCTGTGCACTCGGGCACTGCTGAATAGAATTAGATTGCACTATTGTTTGCTGTTTTATTAACTACTCTATTGATAGATTTTTGTGAGCTTCGTCTGTCTTGTAATTTGTAAAGTCAAGGTAAGTACATATATAATTTCTGTTATGTCCATATATTATGGAACGTCATCAATACCGGTACAAAACCTACTTTTTTTTTACAGTTTTTTCGTTGCACTGCCGTACAATGGACTGTTGCGATAGTTATATTAAATACAGCTTCACTCAAATATTGAGCTTTAAAGGGTAACTGCAATCAAATCTGTTTGAATAAAAATTTTCCAAATTTATGAGCATAACTGTGATGTCATCCCTGGACAAGGCCTAAATGATACATTAGTTTGTACACAAAAAAGTCATATCATTTTGTAGATTTCGCTTTACTAAATTTTCTCCTCTTTGCTAATTCGTGGTGGTTTATGTGCATAGCAATAAATGAGCCCCAATGCTTTCCTAAGAAATTCGTTCAGTAAGTAAATTCTGTGTGCACAGTTTTTAATAGAAAAACCTAGAACTATGTCTTCCCTTGACGACATCACAGCACCAGCGCCCTTAGTTGTTCAGGAGAGCACAGGTGATTTGAATTGTTGAAGTGAAGTGTTGATTTGAAGTAACCAAATGGGAGTCTAAAAGAGTTTTCATACATTGGAGGAGAGTACAAAGTTGCAAAAAAAATTGTGTCTAAGAAAAATCATTGCGGCTACCCTATTAAGAAATACTCTGATTGAAAACGGTTGTGTAAGGCGTTGCTCTTTCGTGTGAAAAAGGAAGGTGGGGTGATCGTGTAATTCAAAATACGCAGTCATGTATGTTGTGTAAAGACTAGTGTGAAATTAGCACTATAGAGGCTGCGCTCATGCATTGAATTACCTGACTAACATAAGGTCAGAGCGCAAGTTGTGCAGGTAACCTGTGAGAGGTCATGGCATTGAACCAGCCTATATGGAGCTATAGGTTTGAGTAAAGAAACCGGAAATTAAAGGCACTAAACCGACGACTTCGTGCTCTCAGTGTTCTGATATTAAAGTGGGTAAAAAAGATTCTTCTCTGTCATTGCAAGAAATATTTCGTTTGTCTCTTAACCGCTTTAAGTTAAGGCTTCATAATGTGAAGGTACGCTTTGCACGTTTCGCGCAATTCTCTGCCCCTCTTCGATCGATGCGACATCTCTTTTTGGTGACCCTCAGTGAAACTTGCACAGCTTTTTAAACATTTGACATCTCCGATGCTTTTCCTGACTCGAGGATACTTGTAATGTCATCACCGGAAGGCATATTTTTTTTTCTGTTCAAATTTTGAACCCTAAATTTCGTCGTAGAAAACGTCTTTACTAAATAATGTATTGCAACAACAAAAATCACCAAAGTAAACAGTTTCAGAAATATCCAAATTCGGATAAATGTTGGTGCAGAAAGGGCTTTAACACTGAGGTGTGAATGTGCCTTGGATGACATAACTTGTAGTTTGCTCATACGCAAACATGCATCAGCAAGAAACGAGATTCCCTTAATTGAAACGGCACAACAAAGATTGAAAATGGGGTTAAATGGAACAAACAGGAGTATTGGGGTTCTGGGGTCGAAATGTTGCAAATTCGGTGGGTATCAGTGACTTGACTTTTATATGGCATGGTTGCGCGTATACACAAACCTGAATTGAATTTAAAACAGTGGTCCACGTGTTTATTTTAAGAAGCATACTAACACTGATGTCATCAGTATTAACTTCCCCTTAGGGGCGATGTGCCAGCTACATTTTTTTGGGGGGGCACAGAATTATGAAGGAAACATTGACACCAGAAAGAGGATGGGTGCTTGTCATTTGTCGTTTGCATCAATGACTGTCCATTGGTTTTCGTATTATAAATTGCCATTTTTACTGGAATAGCCACTGCCCCCCAACACGTGGGTATACTGGAGGTGTAGACCTTCGGTTTTGGAGGAGGACCAAAGCCAATTTAGGATCATATGGAGGACCATGCAGATCGATGACCTTAATCAGTAGCTTAACGTCTGAAAAGCATGGACAATGTCAAATGTTTGAAAAAACTGCAATTTGCAATTAAACTGCATTTTGCAATTAACCCCTAAAACGTCAAAAGGGTATCAAATTGAAGGGTATAGATTTTCAAAAGAAATGCTTGTCTAAGAAAACTTAATCACCAGAACCCTTTGAACGAACCTCCCAAAGTGACTTGTGCCACCTTGTGCACAGAAGTAATCAATCAATCAAATGCTGCTGAAACTAATCAAACGTCATGAAAAAAATAAAAGGATCAAAATAATGTTTATAGTCTTATTAATACACAATGATATCCATGACAATGACCTTAGATGAAAGACAAGTAAAATTAAACGAGGAAGAAGATATTGAACTTAAAAATTGAAAAAAAAGTAAAAAAGGTACATCAGGAAACGTACTGTTAAATTGAGAGAGAAAATTCTTGTAGAATAAGAAATGATGCAGTCATTCAGAAATGAACAATGAAGAGCCGCGTCGCCGTTGCACCCTATGCATTTCTCGACATATATTTTTTCTTGCTTTTAGTATTTTGGTCTTGTCTTGCGCAGGCTTTGGCAGCAGTATGATATAGAATTCGACTCTCTACGTGAGGGTTTGGTGAATGTCATACTCTTGAAATGGCGAATATTCCCTAAATTTTCCCTTTTGAGTTTTAGGCATGATTTCATGCACTATCCCTCACTTTGTTTCATTTATCACAGTATACGCTTCCGAATGGACAAACAAGCGAGAGCAGGGGAGTTTTTCCGGTCCGTACTAACAGACGTACTGGATGACCTTAGAGACGAAGTTCCCGGCAGCATATACGACGAAACATCCAAGAATGAGGAAGTCAAACAGTCCTTGAGGAACATCTCTTTTCTCTACAGGACGGGACTTTCCTCGGCCTCTTCGGAAATGCGCACTGACTGGGACGAGGCAGCCAACCGCTGTGCCTACGTGTTCCTGTACCTGATGCAGCATTGTAATCTCGTGTTCTTCTCTCTCCAAAACAGTCTGTCCGAGATCTCGGCTGAATGGCGTTACAAGCACCGCCTGAAAGTTTGCAGCATCGGTGGCGGACCTGGATCGGACCTGGTTGGCCTGACTACGTTTCTCCGTCTGAACCACATCTTTCCCTCTCAGCTAAAGTGTCTGGTCCTGGACTTGTATCCTAGCTGGAAAGATACGTGGGACAGAATCCACAGTTGCATCCCAGAGGAATTCGAGGTAGCCTACCACAGATGTGATGTTGTCCGAGACACCAGAGTTCAAAGGGATGTGCGCCAATTCATCCAGGAAGCCGACATGATTACCTTGGTGAAATCGTTCTCGGCCATGTCCGCTTTTTTCAGGGCTCACCCAAGTCGAGGTGAATTCCTCTGTAATATCCTCCGCGAGCTGAAGCCAGGCTGCTTCGTGCTGTACATTGACAGCAACAACAGTGGTGATACTCAGTTTCAGAGGGAGTTCGCAACCCGAGCTGGCCTGGAAGTCGAGTTCGAGTCTCGTGGTGTCCAAACGGTACCGTCTGGTGCGTATTCGTATGTTATCAGCAGGTATTGCCGCCTTCTGGACTTCAGTCCAATGCGAAGCTGTGATGTGAACATCCAGGTATTCTGTAAGGAGTGGGAGGCTCAGCCCCGCTTGAATCCCAGCAGTGATGTCTACAGCGTGTATACCACAAATCATTACGCCACACCTTTGGTGTTTTCACCAGCCAAGAAACCTAACACTGTTAGTAACAGATTTCTGGCACGCACGTACAAGTTTCCCATGCACAGAGTACCGGTACCGGAGATGCGTGCTCCGGCCGTCTCAAAGTCTTCCAGAAAACCCGATGATGGCCATCGGCATGACCGTAGCAGACCATCTCTAGGCCTACTCATGGTAATAGTAGGATTTTCTGCGCTTGTGGCCGTTTGGGCTGTCCAGTATTTTTATAAGTCCAGAGAAACATAATGCCTAAAAGACTGACAGTTTTACTGATCAAGAAACCATCCTATAATAACATTGTGTAATGAGACGATCTTGTACTTACAGTATAACTTTGCTGGATATAACATTGACTAGAAACTGAATATGGACAAAATTAGGTTCCTGGATATATTCTGAAGCCAACTCACCTTGCAGTTTTGAGCGCTACAGATATTCTCAATGGGAGGTAAAAAGGCAATATAATGATAAAATAAATAATGATAAATAATAAAATGACTATGTAACAGTCCATTGCACAATGTCTAGGTCTCTGAAATCCATCACGTTAAGTTTTAAAAAGTGAATTTTGCAATGTTGATTATCCTATTACATGTAGTTAGTGTTCATTATTTTTGATCACAAGAAGTATCGCAGTAAGCTTGACTTCTTTGCTATTAGTAATATTTCAATTACGTTCAGTAAACACTAATTTACGACCCCGTAGGCAAGCTCATCGTATTAGCCATGTCGCAGTCGATCACAGGTCAAATCACAGTTCTTGTCACAAAGGGAAGGGGGTAGTGGCCAAAATAATGTTGTTTGAACTTGGCAAATGGCTTCTAACAGACGTCATCGAGGCATCAGGGCAAGTTTCTCCTTGCAGAAAGCACTGGCATTTTAGAGCCGGTACTGCCACTTTTGCTTGGTTATTGGTTGCCACGTTTAGCCATTATGGTTATAGAGATGAGTTTCCGACTAAAACAAACCATTACGTAGATAACTTCACCTCATGCCAGTCACCGCATTGAATGAAATCGTATTGAGGTATGTGGAGTGAAAAGTCCAGTCATACCCATGTAGACGTTAAAAATATCTAAAATAAGTTACAAAGAATTTCATTGCTTTATCTATTTTTTTTAAAGAAGTCGGCAGTCATAGATGACGACAAAAACCTACCGGCTCACAAGATTAATAGGACATAATTACTTACACGATTGATCAGAAAAAAAAGTATGTTAGTCTTACCCAAAACAAATGATGACAAAGGCTAATCGAAATGTTCTCCACTGAATATAAAACAGGTACTTAACCTAACAAGTACACAAGTATAGCATAGTATTAACGTGTATCAAAATATATGTCAGTATCAGATAAAATCAGATCAGAAACTCCATCTTTGGAATGTGTATAAAATGTGTGTAAAAGAACGTGGATACAAAGAATGTGACCTCAACAGCATGTATCTTATTCGTCGTTTGTCTCCGCTGAAGTCGGTTAAAGGCGGATTATCATCAACTTAAGGCTGATATGATTCGTAGGTTTGATATCTTTGGATACTGCAAAAATGTCACTACGGTATCATTTAAACTGCACAAGTATCTGCGCTTCTCTGTGGGTGTTCATGATTGGATTTCCGCTTGTCATGATTAGGCCCACGCCAATAAAGAAATTTTAATTAGTAATTAATAATACACGTATAATGCGACTTATGTGTGTTGTTTGACTCATGTAAATGGTTCTTAGCGACCAAACTAGAAATACAAAGTGGCGAAAATCGAACAGAGTGTTGAGTAGGCCTAAGTAGTGATTTGAGGGCAGTTACCCCCTTAGAACACTTCACACAAGTTTGCGGTGCCGGGGACAACCGACCATCTCAAGGGGAAGCTTTCATGAGACGTACGTGGAGACCGTGTTCAAAACAGGCTCTCATCGGCTAGGTCTTATGTGCACCTCTCCGCGAATTTCAAGTGGAATGAAGACTTAGACCTGGGTCGTTTTCCAATACTCAACTTCGTCTCCGTCGCAGGCTTCATTCCCAAAACCAGTCCCCGATTGTGCGCCTGAAGCGTTTAAATTACATCGGATTACTGTAATTTTTGGCTTTCTTTCATCTCATTTGATGTTCTGTGGCACTATTACAATTAGACTGATTACTGGGCTTACAGCTTAAAAGTCCGCTAGTAAAAAACAGTTGAAGCATGAGACGGAGCCGAAGTTGAGTATTGGAAAACGGCCCTGGCTCTAGCAAACAGATTCGCCGGATGCAGCCCTAGTCTTGTCTCAAGACTGGAAAAACCTTTTTCCCATTGGTATAAGCAGTCAGGTCTTGTTCCCCCCCCCCCGTTGTAAGTCAGGTACCCCTTTTTCAGCAAATGGGATATAAAGCTGACAGAAACGGGAACCTGACTGACCTTACCGGCAGTGGCGCAATATTACGTGTACATGTACATTCCTCAGTTTCACTGCACGTACTGCTGTCATGCACGTCGCGTCGCGCGCCGTGTGTACGCACATGCAGGTAGTACACATGTACAGTACATGCACATGTACGTCGCGAGTTCTGTATAAATTTGTTGCACTTGCAGTCACCAATTCTGACAACAAAGTTACTGTATTCTCGCGAGAAAAACAAGTTTCTTCTCATAAGCTCATCTCAAGCGTTGGCATTTAATCTCTGATAGGACGTTTACTTAGTTTTGAGGAACCAGTAACTTGGTAAGTGACGTGAGATGGGAAAATTCCGGCCACCCGGCCGGCCCAATTCAGTTGGCCTGGCCCCCAGACATTGGCCTACTACATACATGTATCGATACACTACATGTACATCATGTACACATGCAATGAAGTCACTAGTGCACATCTATCAATAGTATCATGTCTATATCCCCAAGGGACTGTGAGTGACAGTGACCAGAAGAAGGTCCCATTTCGGCCGAGGGAAATAGGACTCTCTCGGTCACTCAGAGTCCAGAGGGGCATGCGTATGGGGGCGTGGACTAGTGACCACATTGCCCACTCAAACTAGAAAAAAGCATTCAGTGTTTTTACTGTTTTAATTCAACTTTCATTAGCACTTCAAAAATTGCCCAAAAATTGAATGCTCATTTAGTTTTCATAGACACACTCCAATTTTGAGTTGCTGTATAGGCCTACAACTAAGAAAAGACATCCTCCCGGGTTAACTGCCAGAGGGCACAATAACCAGTCACAAATGTTAAGGACTAGTATCTGACTGCACACTAGTCTCTGGACTTGATGTGTGCGCGCAATGTCTAGGTGCGTGTCAAGTCAAGCTGATTCCAAATTCATGTACTAGCCTACATGTGTATTAGTGAACCGCATGTGACCGTATTTTAGTCAACCAGGATAAAGAACCAAGAAGGGGTGTGTTAGAAAAATATATAAAACCACAAGTCTTTCACTTATAAGTTAACCCTGGTTTTAAAAAGCGTGGGCAGGCAATGGGCAAAATGATGGATGGCAGTGCGTTTAGTGCAACTTACGGGTGACGCACCGTAGAGCTTCTCCTTCATGTTTATGGACGCACTTAGGCTGCCTGTACAGTTTACGTGTGCTCTCAAAATGAAGTTATTTTTTCTTTCTCTGGTACTGCTATGTCTTTACAAAAGTTGCAGCTCTGCATAGTTTTGAATCTGCATGGATCAGATTAAGTAAACAGAGGATTTTTTCACAATCAAAAAATGGCTTCTTAGAATTTTATGGCTGGAATTCTTCATTCTATGCATAAATTCTCTATACCGAGGGGTGAATTAGCCCACACTTTTGGATTTACAGGGATTCTCCCTGAATGACTTACATGTTAATGAGCTGCCAGTTTCTTTGTCTCTTGAAATTATGCAGAATAGTAATGAGATCAATGTAGGATAACTTGAACCCCTGACATACCTGGTATGGCTGTCAGGTCTCATGTACACATGTAGGCTATCTTCGGAAAAGGCATGCTTTTGTTTGTAAAGCTCAATCTGTCCTTTTAGGTCTAAATTGTGTAATTTTGTTTCTTGCAGTTTGCCCAGTCTGAGTAACTAGGACCCCTCAAATCACCTTTCAACATTTGAAAATGATCGGGCAATACTCAGGAAAATGTTTAAAAAGGATGATTCATATGGTCCTAGTTACTCTGACTACAATTTTCCAATAGGCCTATTTTACACTGAATATCACAATGACATGTATTACTGTACAATATTTTTGCCATACAAAATATGCCGAGTAAAGTTAAGTGAATGATATGCCACACCATTGCATATGGCCAAAAATAAAGAATGCTCCCGCTATGTCAGTCCAACACCCAAGCTTGGGGGAAAGAGTTCCATACATGGACATCTCTGGCACCTTGTGTACAAATCCTGTGAGACTTGGTCTGAAAAATTATAAGTGGTTTCTTAGTAAGTGCTTCTGTATTCTCCCAGCTAAATTTGAATTTTTATGGCACGTTGTCACTTTCTGATGGCTGATAAACTGCTGCAGAGGAAAGTTAGTGGTGTCTGTGAACGGAACTTTGCCCAGTACTGGTTCAGTGTAATCATTCTAAGATGGTTCCTCAGACTCAGGCCGTATCATGAGCAGTGATGATGCAGAGGCCCAAGCCGATGAGGTGACAGCCCTGGCTAGCATCTACGTACGAGGAGAGGATATTTGTCGCCGAAAACGACAACAATGGCGGAGAGTTCTCGGCTCACTTGGAACTGCCGGAGGAATATTTCATCAAGCTTGACGGTCCACTCATTCAGCAAGCCAAGAAACATGGTGAGATCACGGAGGAATTTGTTAATGCAAAAAAATGAGTCCTTCATATTTTCCATGACTGCGAGAGGTCCAAAGTCATTTTTTAAAAAAGGGGGAGGGACAGCAAAATAGACTGGTGCATGAAACTACTGCATGAACGTGTGTGAAAAACAAATCTAGTTCCTTCATATTTGTCCATATTCTCTCATAGTCAAGCCACCAGACCAAGACATCGAGAGAGGCCTATTGACTACTTGCCTTCTATTGTACACGTACATGTATGAACTAGCAATGAGCTCATTAGTGCATGTCTACATGGATGTGCCCCAAGGGACTATGAGTGACCAGAAGATATTCCTCTTTTCTCCTGCAGGAACCTCTTCTGGTCACTTGCAGGCCCGAGGGGGCATCGACGCACATGAGTAACCAAATTATGCCAACCCATATGTTCTGTTGCACACCATTGTCCAAACTGAAATAAGAATTTTAAGAAACTTGTCAAAGTTTTATAATTGAACTGATTTAATTCAACAGTTAGCATTAGCAATTGAAGGAGCATACTTAATAGTTTCCCTAGGTTCAGTTTTCTGTTCACTCACTTCACTGTTCGCACCAGTTAGAAAGGGAGTATGGTGAATTTATGCATTTGCAGCGTCACTCTTGATGTGTGTGTGCGCCATTCACACTGACACAAATTTCATGCACTGGCCTACAGGTGTATATGACAGAACTACTAGCCTGTTACATGTGTAGACTGCTGTAGACATAGGAGAAAGTGGTCTATGGACTACCTGCCCCCTTCTACAGACTGCAACATAGAAAGAGAGGGGTCTATACGTGTACACTACACCACTTGCCCCTAATTTCAAGTCTTCTCCCAGCTTTGTCAGGATTTCTGTAATAATGAAGTGTTTCCTGTCAGGTCTGAAGTTGCAGGAGGGTAGCAATGGCAGCTCTCTTCTGCGCATTAACCACCTGCCGCCCATCGTGCTCAACTTCCAGTATCCTGAGGACTATCCATCCAAGTCTGCTCCTTCCTTCACTCTGTCCTGCAAGTGGCTGAGCGTTGATAAGGTCTGGTTAAAGTTTCGTTTGCGGTTTGTGCCGTTGAGTGAAACGTCTGTGAAGATACCCATTAAGAACTATTTAAAATCCACTTGATTTAAAGGTGGGACTTGATTGAACTTGTGTGGTTGAAGTGTCACTTTTCAGTACTGATTGGCATTGTCGTGCAAGGGCAATTCCGAATGATAGCGGAAGTTTGGTAGCCCATTGCTGACTACTATTTTTAATTGAAATTGGTAGGAAAGTACAGCAATAAATAAGACGTGCGTGTACCACCTATAATTGCCACTTGTATTTTGTTTGTTTTTTAATTGATTTGTTTACAAATCACAAATAGCAAGCTCTTAAACAGAATGACAAATTATAACTTACATGGGTGCATGGAACTGGCCATAATTACAGTGTCCTGAAACCTGCAGAACCGAGTCCAGGAATAAAATGTCCACAGGAACTGTGTAGTATTCATAAACAGTAATTGATTACTGTAAGACTACACTCATGGTTGTGTGTAAAAATAGCTATGTCCCTAGAGGGCGGCCAGAGCATACTGGCCAAAATGTCACGTTAACACTTATCGGTTCTTTTAAGAACCACACCTCGCCCAAAAGAGATCGATTCCATGGTGTACCTGGAAACCTATTTCTCATATATCCCCAACAGTCCCAAGTCCTCAGATTTCAATGAAATTTTACGTACACCCAAGGGGTTAGGGTTAAACAGCATTCATGTTTATACCATCCTTTTTTTGCTCCCAAAATTTCCAGCTCTCCAAATTGTGCTCTCATTTGGATCGCATCTGGGATGAGAATCGCGGTGAGGTCGTCATCTTTCAGTGGACACAGTTCCTCATTGATGAAAGCCTACAGATTTTGGGAATCCAGTCGCCTCTGTTGTTGGACATCAGGAAGATGTTGCGTTCCAACTCAGTAGAGGCTCGAGGAGCCTGTCCCCCAGATAGAACAGATGAGCAAGCTTCCCGACCTTCCTCGGAAGATCAGGACAAGGGAACATTGCTCTGTGATCACGAGAGTGATCCAGACCATGCCCCTTTAGATCCCCGCGCTGTTCAAGACATCGGCAGCCCCAGTGTCCTCTTACTGACGCTGATCGAGCACAACAGGGCCGAGCGACAGAGGGTCTTTGATGCTTCCCTGTACAGTTGCCTTGTCTGCTTCTCTGAGAAACTGGGTTCTCAGTGTATCAACTTCCAGGGATGCAACCACGTCTATTGTAAAGACTGTGTTAAGGGTTACTTTGAGGTGCAAATCGAAGAAGGGAATGTCAAGGGTTTGAACTGCCCCGACACGGATTGTGATTCTCCTGCTTTGCCATCACAGGTAAAACCTTTGTTTTCAAAATTTATTTTAACTCTTTCTCGTAACGAACCCAAGGTTCCCGAAAAGAGACACTAGCCTACAGACCAAATGAAACTAAGAGGGATCGCAGGTGAAGATTTTTTTTTAATTCATAAAGTGGAGGAATGAAAGCCAACGAAAAAACTATACTCAAGGAGAAAGTCACAGAATCGAATACACACTGAAAATTTAATCAACGTACCAGCCAAGTGGGATTCAAACTGGGCCACAGAGGTAGAAGGTCAGGAAAGTACCCATGTATCAACAAGACTCCCCATAGGCCAAATAATTTGGCCGTCCCAGGCGAATGTGTGGATTAGAATGACAGTCCCTACCTGATTCCTTGGGTTTTCCTGAGAACATTAAAATTTTATCTTGGGTACTCCTCCTGTCTCTAAAACTGAACATTTCATGATTGTCTTCATCTTCAAAAACCTGTCCACTCCAAGCGGAATTAAAGAGGGCGTATTCATTTTGTACTCACCACATAGAGATGCCATGATGCGCTCAAGTATATGCGTGTTTGATGCAAAGCATGCTGAGTACGCGTAGCTAATCTATTGCGGCATGTATGGTCTTTGTGTACACGCAGAATGCGTGCATAACCTGCTTGTAACCACATGTCTCTCTTTCCCTGATTGGGGGTGCACTTCAGCTCGGGGCGGATTGGGAGAAGAGTTCCTTCACCTGATAGAGCTACCCTTGTTAAATAACTGATAAAGAAAACTCTGTCATAGAGCCTTTTCGAAACGAGTGGATTAGGCTTAGTCTTCGGCTTCGCTGGTTCCAGTCATTTTGAGGCAGCATTTGAAACTGCATGCGGAGGATCTGACTGGTACCAGGGAAGCCAAAGACGAAGCCTAATCCACTCGTTTCGAAAAGGCCCATAGATTGTTCCACTACAGTGCATCCATTATGCAGCTGCAGCTATGTAAGCTTATACTGTCCTTTAGATTTCAATCATAAAGGTCTATTTCACTGATGTACATGTATATGCAAGTAGTAGACTAACGTGGCTGTGTACATCTTTGGTCAATATCATTTGTAGCAAGGGAGTGCAAATCACAGGCTAAGAGGTCTCAGAACCATTATAAGTATCTATTGTCAGTCATGTTTTTCCATATCCTCAAGGTTCGTGAACTGGTCAGCAAGGAGCTGTTTGCAACCTACGACCGCCTTCTGCTACAGCGCACCTTGGAAGGAATGGATGACATTGTCTACTGCCCCCGTTTGTCCTGTCAGTGTCCAGTCATGAGGGACAAGGAGACCACGATTGCGGTGTGCTCCGCCTGCGCGTATCCATTCTGTGTGAAGTGCAGAATGGCGTACCACGGTGTCTCCCCGTGTAGACTACGGAAAGGTTTGCTTTTTGGCAGAGTTGTAGTTTAGACTATCACGAGACCAGACATGAGACCATTCACAAGACAAGTAACAGGGTGAACGATGACAAAGGAATGCTTTTCTTGCAGTTCACTTAAATTGCTTGTGACTTGAATTCAGACTGCTGGTCATGCAATAGTTTTGTGGGGTCTTGTGATGGTCTTAAGAAGTCTGGACTACAGTACTTCCTTTGTGTGGCATTCCGTCTACGTCTAAAAATGAAATGCTGATATCGACTGTTATATTAAAAAAATAGTTTATAAGGCCTAAGGCAGGAATTTTCCTTGAGGACATCTTTTGTTGAACTTTGTAATCCTCTTAACCACATGAAAATTCTTTTTGACACTCCTGTTTCGTTTTATCTTTTTGAAAAGTGCCTTTTATTAAACGTACAAGTATCTATGCTTTTCTGACAAATGAGGGCAGAAGTGCTTTCTGAATGTTATTTCAGGAAGATTTTGTTCATGTGGTTTTGTGTTCAAATTGTGCATCCAAAATGTCCATTTTTCTGACAAATTTGGTCGTGAAGTAACTGTGACATGGAGGTTTCTTTCTTGAATTATGTCACGAATATGCAAGTGTGCGTTAACAGGAAAAAAAGAGACAAAAATGTCCTTGAAAGTGGCCAAATGAAAATTGAAAGTTGAGGTAAATGGATGAAAAAGAGGTATTTCCCAGTACTGTATTGTAATAAGCAATTTCTGTTTAGGTCCTATAAAAGAGCTGGATTATTTTGGACTATCTCATAGCCAGGGGAGGTGGGAATTTCCTCCCAGAACCTGGCTGTCCCATACGTGATTGCTGTAAAACTTGGCATGCACGTAGAGCACCTCCTTATTACAGATGTTTCAACTTAAGTTTCAACTTAATCTAACATGTGGCTTTGTTGTTACAGTCATTGGAAGTTAAATCCACGAATGTCAGCCAATTGTCATTGAGCACCGCAGTGGAAAAGTGTACATTATACATTTTTTGACTGACGTATCTCAGCAAAATGGGCACTGCGCGAGAACAGTTGGATTTTCCCAAAAGTGGTGTCAGAATGACTGCAAAGAGTTACTGAAAGAATTCCTAAAGGCTCAGCCTGTGCAAAATAAAATCACTGTGGAGATATCCGAAGAAATGTTGGGGGGAGAGCAGTTTCTCTCCCCTGCCTCTTTTAGGGTTAAGAGGACTTGTTTTGATTGTGCATGTAGCTCAGTAGTATCTGGCAGTACGATATTCAATAGATTATTGGTTCAATATGGCTTTAGTAATCAACAGAAACGTGATTTCATTTGTCAACAGAGGAGATCTTGAAGCTACGAAAGGAGTACGAAGAGGGAAGTGTGGAGCTGAGGGCCAAGCTGGAGCAGCAGTTTGGCCGGCGCGTCTTCCGAGAGGTTCTGGAAGAGTTTGAGTCACAACGGTGGAAGGACGAGAACAGCAAAGAATGTCCCAAGTGCCACACCAACATTGAGGTCAGCAACTGGCCCAGTAGAGTCACGCAAATCCATGGTGTTCCACAAAACTTCTTTCGCACTCCCTTTAAGAAGTCCCTTTCGTTTCTTGAGTTCTCGCTCAAGTTGAAGGAGGGTCTTTTACAAAGGTTAGCTCGCGGTGTGAGTGAGATAGGCACGAAAGTATCTGAACCAGCTTAGAATTGTTGGCACTTCATATATCAAAGGCACTAGAAATTGTGCCGTTAGTACAGGAATATACATTTAGTAGTGAGCATTTTTCACTTGTTGCAATATTAACCAATTAGTTGCTGCTGTTGCTGTAGTTTTGTATTCATCTGAGAACAGGGAGTCGAAGGTAGTGCAGGGCCAGTGGGTTAACCAATTTTAGAAGTCGTTTTCATTTGGAATGTGCATGAGTTCTAGTGGACTAGGCCATGCTACATACCTGTTACTACCTACATTATTTCCTGTCGGTCGGGAACCTGTCTCAGTTGTTCTTGTCCCTACCTGCATATTTCCATTGCAGAAAATTGACGGTTGCAACAAGATGTCTTGTTCCCAGTGCCGCACGTTTTTCTGCTGGGTCTGCCTCAAGATCTTGTCTCACTCTGTGCCGTACCAGCACTACAATGATCCCAAGAGCCGTTGCTTCAATCAGCTTTTCCACTTTGAGGGACCAGTGGCTCGCGTTGTCAGGGATGATGAATGGATGTTTGTGTGACAACTGCAGTCAACAACATGGGCGGTCCAGTTACAGAGTTAATGTCAGGTACTTTTTCAAGGTTCAATTTTAACTTCAAATCCAGTGCCCTCATCCAAGAATCAGTGGCGTAAGAATCAGATCAGAAATGGTTTAGTAGAACTCACTCTCCTCAAAAGAAAAGTTCTTGAGATGTTAATAAGTTCTGAAGCAGTTTCTAAGCCTTTTAATTGTTAGAAATATATGGTCAGGATTTAAAGTGTTGGAGCAGTTTCATTATTAAAGTTAACTTAAAGTGGTTAGTATCTACCATCAGTGTTTCTAGCATGGTTCCTACAGTTGTATTCTGTGTTGTAGTCGAGTCCTGGCCCAAGTATTTTATGGGACAAGTAACAGGGTCAACAAAGACCAGTTTTGTCACAATGTTAATGGATAACTTGTGATTTGACTCAAGATTGGATGAGTTGTGGAGGACATAGAGAAATGTTTACTGGGCTTCAACTGCATCAGAGCTGTTCAATAATAACATCTCTTGGAGGTGATACGCTTGATATGGGAACAATCCCACAACTGTGCTTTTTTATGCAAATTTATTCTTTAAACACCTTGAAACTGAAGAATCTTAAAGAGCTTTTCAGCTCGTTCACACAGCAATGGCACGTTATGTCAGTTGTTGTAGGCCTGTCCGGGAAGTGATTGATTCGGACGTAGAAATCAGCCCTCTGTAATTTCTGTGATGCCGGCAATTATGAATGAGGCTGAATAAAATTGTTTAAGAGAGAATTTTTCTCTTATTTGCAATTAGAATAAAAGTGCATGCAGACTAACAGAAGTTGCAAACAGCTGGGACGGGGGTGTTGAATGCAATTTTTGAGAAATTAATTTGTCCTTTCAGGTGAAGTTGGTGAACTGAAATTGAAGGCAATCAGAGCAGCAATAACTACACTGGACAGCAAACGAAACTTGCCATTTCTGTCAAAGGCCACACATAAAAATTCAATCCATAGAAAGAAGGTATGCTGCAACACCCCTTACTAATCACATGCCCAAAAGCAAGTGATTATCTTAATAACAAGAAGAAATTGACATGCACAGCAACTTGGTTACTGAATCAAAAGTCACAGAATGTAACAGAATGAGCCTTAAGTTTTACGCAGAAATCAATGTTACAGGACGAAATAAAGAAGTCACAATCATATGTGTATGCATAGTCAGCAAGGATGGCATCCCTATACAGAAACCACTCGTGCACATCTTTTTTACAAAACAGGTGTTCATTTTGTTATTGGTTGTTTAAAATGTTGTCCATTCATGGGTCATTTTTGCTTGGAGAGTGTTTTTGTGTGTGACTTTTGATTCAGTAACCAAGTTGCTGTGCATGTCAATTTCTCCTTTGTTATTAAGATAATCACTTGCTTTTGGGCATGTGATTAGTAAGGAGTGCTGCAGCATACCTGTGTACAAAAATTGTTTATTTCTATGGAGTGAATATTTATGTGTGGCCTTTGACAGAAGTGGCAAGTTTCGTATGCTGTCCAGTGTATCTAACCATGATTGGAATCATTGTGGTTGTAACAGAAGCAAGACCAATGGTATACTTGAATAGAGAGAGAACTAAAGCCTCTTAGCTATTTGTGCTTTTCTTTGAGGTAAAATTGTATAGTGCAAAACGAAGTTAACCAAAAAATAAGTATTTATAAAGTTATGAACTTGAGCACTTCTGTGGTTCTGTGTCCAGGTGGTTTTCAACTTCTTTAGCACCATACATGGAAAACAGTTGTAGTGTAGGGCTGCAGCTTCCTTAAATCCTTAAGAATTCCTAAGAACCTGGCAGTCAAGGGCGTATCCAGAACCAAATTTCCACGGTCCAAACCTTTTTTTTGAGGGGGTCCAGAAAATTTAGGAAGCTTTTCCTGAAACCTTTTATTGCCTTCGGGGAGAGGGGGAAGGTGAGGCTGTGTATGAGGCATTTTACACACTTTTGGAAGGAAGGGAAATAAAGCAGGACAAAAGAACAAGAGTAGAACAACCATCATGAAACTTGGGTATGAATTCAATCTATTTTTTGTATGTCACAAAATGGCATTTGATTTAGTGGGTAAAATGTTCAGTGCTCGTTCCTGTATTTTGGGTGATATAAATACACGTTTATTGACACAAATTTCATTTTGGATCCGGAAGTATTTTAACTTGAAATTTCACACTCTGTAGCCTCGTGCCAAGATATCTCGCAAAGCTATGTAAACAATCAAATATCAACAAATGCATTTTCTCAAAGGAATAGGATTTGCGGGGTTTTTTTTGTTATTTCAGTATTATTCACCAGGATTTTCCTGATTTTCAAACAATCTCTTTTATCGCTTGAAAATCCTGTGTAAACCATAAGGGTGTTTGTACATATAAAAGGGAAAATAATGTGAATTCTAAGGGGTTCCTTCAGGCAAATACAAATGTTTATTATGGACCTGACGTTGCTGTGGAGCCCTCGAAACATTTGGTCATTATTTCATGGATATCTCATTTTTCTCCAATCTCACCCCTGCTTGCGTTTTTGAACTCGACAAACCACTTTTCTGCAAAGTGTGTGATTATTTAACGACGTTCCTCTCCTTATTCGATTTGTCTATTTCCGTTCTGTGCTTATATTTACCTAATACTGACAAACTGTCGTTTTATATTACAAAATTATAATCTCAATGTCTTGTTTGTTAAATCAAAATCTTTATTTTTCTTTGAAAAGAGGTGGAATAATTTTTATTTATTATTCGAAGCTTATTCAAGCATTGATTTCTTGTATGTGTAGCGCTCAGTTGCCGTTTTTTAGAAATTGTTTTGGGGGACTAAGTTCTCAAAAAATCATGGAAGAGTTTGAAAATAGAAAAATGAAGCATTCGTTAAAATATGAAGACTTGTAAAAGAATTGCTTAGATAGTTATTTTGAAAAATTTAACAAAATATCCGTCAGTGAAAAAAATCACAAAAGTGTGTTTTCTGAAGGGAGCGCCGGAGGGATAACTTAGATCTGTATGACGTGTTCTCGTGATAAGAGAATTAAAATGAGCAATGCTTGAATTATGTTCTTTGTGCCTTTTTATTACATGAACCGAAGCAAAAACAAAACAAACATATCGAAGCTAATATTATCTAAGGCGCATTCGCAGTAAGAGTGTATCCAGGAATCATTCGGCAGGCAGAAAATAAGGAATTGTTGTTTTGATGTGCGCCAGGATAAACAGCGCGTGCCCAAAGAGAAAGGCGTCCGGGGTCATTCAGACGCGCGTGCGAGCTCTACCTTATCAGTGCGGCCGTACAGGGACTTGCGCGCGTGCTTGTTCCCAAATGACGTTGCTTGTTTGAAAAACCGATTCGGGCTCATTAAAACTCATTGCTTCGTTGGTAAACGAGAAAAGGTACACCACAGCAAAACTGGTAAGGCTTTGCGCAAACTTGACAAGTCTTGTAGCAAAGGGAAGTCATAGGTGGAAATAAAAATCTTGGTTTGTTTTGTTAAATTGTGTTTTGTTTTCGTGTCTGCGTATTTTATTGAGTTTTTGTTTTAAAACGTGGAAAAAGCTTATCCTTCTCATATTGATCCTCCATCGTCCCGAAGTAAGAGGCCCAAACCCCACCCACCGCCACTGGTTGATCGGGGGGGGGGACTCAAAACCATGCCCCCAACCGGGGAGAGAAACTTTCCTTCAATTAGAAAATAAAGAGGACTATTTTAATTTCCATAACAGTAGCTTGTAAAAGGCCTCAAAGTGTAGCCTCACCCCCCGGAATGGTCATAAAAGGAGGATACTTAAACTCATTCCTCAAACGTTTGGCGCATCCTGGAAAAAAAGCTACTTCCTTTCCTGAAAAATTTGTTCAGGATCCACTCCTTTGCACACTCCCTCCCCCCTCCCCTCGGCCCCCACGGGACAGAACAAGACGCGGCATCACACTCTGCTTCACATAAAAACAAAGACGCGTGGCTCATATGTATTTCACAATACCGCGTAACCGTAATTAAACAACCCCACAAAGGTCGAGCGTTCGGGTAGGGATTTGTTTTAGTGCGGCTGCTCGTACCGAGGGTCATAGTGCAATTTCGCTCTCTTGTGCAATGCGTCGGTGAACAGTACTGCACCGCAGGAATCACAGTGGAACACTATAAAAACAAAGGTCTTCCTGAATTTCGGTAGATCCATTCACATTGTGCAGGCTCCAAAGTACAGCTAACTTTGACTCTATCAAAACGGGAGATGGAGACTGATGACCAGGTTGCCCAGACCGATGAGGTAACAGCCCTGGCCAGCATCTACGAGGAGAGGATCTTCTTGGCCGATGGAAACAACGGTGGTCATTTTTCGGCGTACTTGGATCTGCCCGAGGAATTTTTCATTGAACTACACGAGGCTTCACTGGTTCATCGAACCAGAAAACTTGGTTAGTTTATCATGTTTAGTTGAACCCCCGTGCTCTGATGAAAACATCAGGTCTAACCGGTTGGTGTTGGGGAGGGAATGGTGAATGAAAGGGGAGCTAATTGTTGCTGGATGTTTTGACTGTGTTATGAAATGCAATTAATTAACCTGAACGATGCCAGACTTCACTGACTGCATCCAGCAGCACAGAACCATGGAATGACGCCTGACAGTTCGAAGTGGTGAGGAGTCTTTAGCTGATCGGAGGTTGGTCAGAGATCCCCCCTCCCCCCCCAAAAAGGATGGGGATGATAACTTTTTGGGGCGTTTGTTTTGAAATATGAAGAGAAAAGGGTGATTTGGGGAATACTTTAATTTCCCTTGTTTTCCCAGAGAATGAGAAAAGCACCGAAATTTATCCCTCTGATCAGAAAGTCCATAAAAGGTTATTACATACAGGAAATCTGATTTTTTACGCCTCCTGGAAAACTGGGTGTTGGATCCGCTTTTGTGGGGGTTACGACTTTAGTCCTCCACCCGGTATAGAGGTGAAGCACTCGTGTTAAAATAGCGATATACTGTTGATTTTCAGCCCTACGCTAGCAAATAGCTGGTATCAAGCAACTTTGCAACGAAACTATTTCAGCTGTTACTGGTTCACACAATCTTCTCCGTCATTTAACCTCGCTTTACAGTAACCCAGCTATAGTGATAAAGTGGCTGGGATACCGACCCTTTTGCGATTGTGTGAATCTTGGATGCCACTGGTTGAGGTTTAAGTGCGTAGGGCAGGGCAGGGAATGCTAGCTTTCGAGTAGTTCCAACTGCCATCTTGAAGACTTGCCTTGTTTATGGTGCCTTTTGTTTTTCTTGCAGGTTGTCGATTGGAGGAGGGGCATGAAGGTAGCTCTCTTCTGCGCATTAACCACTTGCCGCCCATCGTGCTCAACTTCAAGTATCCTGAGGACTATCCATCCAGGTCTGCTCCTACGTTCACTTTGTCCTGCAAATGGCTGAACGTCGACAAGGTCTGAATACCCTAAAACAGACAGATTTCTCTGAGAGGAATTGCGACCATTTTTCCATAGACTCTTATTTGTGGAGATCTGCTTGTTTCACTCAACTTGTGTGAAAGCTTAGTGCAGCTGGTTAATAAAATTTCCCAAAGAGCCTTTTCACTTCTATTTAGATTTTTCCAAAACGTGTCTTATTTCCTTTTCTCTTTGTTTGCCTGGAAAGGTAGAGCCCAGATCTTTCTTCTTTTGACGCCAACATGACGCGTACTGAGCACACATTCCTTTCAGTCTCATTTTTCCACGCCACACGTTTGGGCAAATTTTCACATTTCGTCTCTGCGATTTTTTTTTTCAGACTGATTGCTCTGCTCTGGTCAGCTTTTCATATACTGTCGTTTGAAACACTCACTACAAGTTGCTGTTTCCTTGCTATGCGTTATTTGAAGTAGATAGTCACCTCTGATATTTCATCATAGTTTCATCATACATCATTTTCATCATAGTTTCGTCATCAAAGTTTCATCAACTGTCGACAACAGCAGTCGTGGAAGGTGTAGGTAGGTTTACTGACTTCTTGAAATGTTTCAAAATTTGCAGTTGTCTGAGCTGCGCTCTCATCTGGATCGCATCTGGGATGAGCACCGTGGTGAAGTTATCATCTTCCAGTGGACGCAGTTCCTTATTGATGACAGTCTTTGGGTCTTGAGAATCCAGTCATCCCTTTCCTTAGGTAGTGCCGCCGTCCAGCTTGCCCAAGGCGACTCCACGGAGCTCGCAGACACCTCAGGTCCGCATTCAGTTAAGAACAAGTCTGTGAGAGGTGCGGGCCAGCTTCTACAGACGCTGATTGATTACGACATTTCCGAGCGTCGCAGAGTCTTCGATGAATCGATTCACAGTTGCTCGGTGTGCTTCAGCGAGAAAGCCGGTGTCGATTGTGTCATGTTTCAGAGTTGCAACCACGTGTACTGTAAGGACTGTGTGAGAGATTACTTCATGGTGCAAATTAAAGCGGGGAACGTGAAGGCTTTGAATTGCCCTGATACAGAGTGTGATTCTGTTGCCATGCCACCACAGGTAAAGATTCGATAAGATTACATTAACGATAATTAGAGATATTTAGGGATAATTTGGAAGTTAAAGTGCAGCGATAGAGTATACTGATCGGATTTCCCAAATTAAAAATCTTTGGTGGAAATGTTGCATCATTATTTGACGTGGTTTTACATGGCGGAATTGATGAACCGCACTCACTTTCATTGTCTGGCATTCAAACTCCCTTTATACCTCCTTATCGCGGCCTCGCTGAAGTCATATTCTACTCAGTCATATGACAGATTTGTATGAGCTAAATTCATCTGTTAGATTGATTAAGGCCTGATGAGGATCTTATTAGTTCAGTGAAAAACCTACAGTTGGTTGTGGGAATGGTTGAGGAAATCAGACCAGATAAAGCATCTGTAAGATTGTAAAGGCTTGTATTTCCTCTGGATAATACAGTCATTTACATCTCGGGGTATGCTTGGGGCTATTCTATGAAAAACACGCTGTTTATATTCTCCATTATCTTCAAGGTTTACGCCTTGGTTGGCGAGGAGCTATTCGCAACCTACGACCGCCTTCTACTGCAGCGCACCTTGGAAGGAATGGATGACATCGTTTACTGCCCTCGTTTATCCTGTCAGTGTCCAGTCATGAAAGACGGGGAGTCTTCCCTCGCTGTGTGCTCTGCCTGTGGATATTCTTTCTGTGTCCTTTGCAACAGGGTCTACCATGGAGTGTCTCCGTGTGTTGCAAGTGAAGGTGCGCCCCCATCAGAGTTCGGGGAGAAGTGTAAATTGTGGGATGGGGAACAAGCGAATAGTTGGTAAAAGACAACGTGAGTAATACTTACATGGAGAATGATGAGAGATGACGAACGATGTAGGCCCTGAGTTTGGATGCGTGGGTGTGAAAAGGTGGCGCCGGGCTCTGGTGTATATTTGTAAAAGAGTCCCACATCAGCACACAGAGGTCAGCTTGGTTCAACCTGTACACTCTACTGGGCAGTGATCATGTTGACTTCGACGGTCAAAGAACAGAGTAGGTCTACTCGTAAACTAATGTACAATTTTATCTTTAATACAGAAGAGATCTTGAAGGTTCTTGTGGAATTTGAGGATGGCGATGAAGACTGCAAAGTCCGACTGGAGAAGCGCTACGGCAAAGATCTCTTCAAAGACCTACGGGAGGAAGCCGAGGAGAGGCGGAGGCAGGAGGAACTGGCGGAGTTGGGGCGTTTGAAGGAAGCGGAGGAGAGGAGAAAAGAGCGGGAACTAGCCGAGAAGGAGCCGCTGAAGCAGAGAATGCAGAACCAGAGATGGAAGAACAACAACACTAAACAGTGCCCGACTTGTGGTACGCATATCGAGGTATGTACACGGTTTTGTCCTGAATTCGTTGGATCCGGGGGAAACAGCAGAGGCGTCTTCCCCCACCCGAAAAAGGATCCAAAAAGAAGTCTTAGGGGAAAATATTGAAAAATGATTTATTTTGGAGTAGACCTATTTCATTTCCCTTCCTTCCAAGAATGCAAATCGATTAAATTGAAAGTTCCCTTGCTGAAGCATTTGAACATTAAGAAAGAGTCCTTTGATTTCCTCATCCGAACAGCTTGTTGATAAATAGCCTAATTCTGCATTACATGGCCCTCCTTAAAGAGAATTAATTTAGCTGTTTCAATTAAAATTAACATCAAACACAGAAACAAATTTTTTGTCCGAATCCTGGGCTTCCTAATTGCCATCTGGCTTTACACACTATACTGTTTTATCATCTTTAAAAACCACGCGCCACGCACTGGCCTGGGACCAATCAGAGTGCATGAAAAACTTTATTAGATTTGACGAAGTTAGTGTAAACAGAAACAATTCGGTTTTCTTGGTGGCACACTGTTCCTATTATTATACCGGTACATGTATTCCCAAACAACTTCCTCTCTTTTTCTTTCACAGAAAAATCAGGGTTGCAACATGATGAAATGTACCCATTGCAATAAGTCGTTTTGTTGGAGGTGTCTGCAAGTCTTGCCGCACACGTATTCCTGCGATTCGGTCTTTGATTATTTACAACAGGCGAAAACAGCAAATGAAGAATCGACTACAGGAATTTTAGCTAGTAGTTGAAGAGTAACAGAAGTGAAGAAATGTGCAATTCTAAAATTTGTCCATCTGCTGATAAAGAATAAAATGTTCCATATGTATATGTATAATTGTTGTTGTTGTGAGGTTAATGGCACCTTTGGCACTATTGTGCCCTTTGTGCCAACTTCAAATACAGTAGCCAAATCCGTCCTGCATTGACTTTGACCAAAAACCACCACCTCATCAGAATACACACCTCTACTGATCACCAGATTGCCATTATTTGTAATGAAACAGAGTTCAGTATATGATGTATGCCGATGACACACAACTTAATTTTACATGTTGGGGTTCCGGGGAATCAATGGGAGTTTTGGAGCAGTGTTGGGGAGAGATCCGTCTTTGGATGCGGGATAACTTGCTCATTCTTAATGATGGAAAGACGGAGTCAATTAAATTTCACCTAGGTTTGCTCTTAATTGTGCCTGGGATTACCCGGCGTAGTACGTATTGGTGATGTCAACATACATCTTTCTGCCACCGTCAATGATCTTGGTGTCATATTTGACTCGGGAGGCACTATGTCTGTCCATGTTTCGAATTTATGCAAGCAAGCATCTTTCGCACTTTAGAAGATTGGAAAAATTCGTTCTCTTTTGGATTCCAATGTTACACAAAGGCTGGTGCACGCTTTTGTAACTTCGAGAATTGGTTATTGTAAAAGCCTTTTGTTTGGTATTCATGTCAACGAAATTTCTAAAATACAATCCATTCCGAATTCTGCCGCTCGTTTAGTTATGTGGATTCATAAGTATGATAGTATTACCTCGGTATTGAAAGAGCTTCATTGGCTTCATGTCTCACAGAAGATAAAAATTCTTACATCGTGTATGGTCTGGCTCCTTGCTATTTGCAAGAACTTACACACATTCACAATGTTGGTCATCAGTTGAGATTGAATTCCCAGGGAAATTTAACTTTATATCAGCCAATAGGGGGCAATAAGTATTACAGTGACAGGACATTCCAGGCTTGTGCACCTAGACTTTGGAATGCGCTGCCACTGTCGATACGTGCTTCAGCATCATATGATATTTTTAATTCCTCTCTTAAAACATATTTATTTAAGATTAGTTATAAGTGAAATAAGTTTTATGTTGATTTTAAATAGTCGTGGTTTTATTTAATTGATCCCTGTAGTTTGTAATATGTAATGAGTTTTAATTAGGGCCTATTGGGTGTTATAGTTTGTAGTGTATATTGTAACAGTTGTACACTGCTCTGAGATAATTTTTATGGAGGGCGCTTTATAAAATTATTATTATTATTCAAAATCTGTGGGGTTATACAACATTTAGAGGGCGACAGCAAGTTTGTTGAGTTGGGGGGGCTATGTCTCATAATGGGTAACTCTACTTGTGCTAGCTTAAAGAAAGCTAGGGAACATTCTTGGGCTCAAATGAATTAAAAACAGAAACAAATTTGATATAACACGACGGCACCCCACGAAACACTTTGGAGATACTCAGGAACATTCAGTAAGACCTTAGTGAATGAACTACTTTACTCCTATGTATTTTTAGTCCTATTTATTTTTTCCAATTTTAAAAGTATTTGATATAATGTAGGCCTACTTTATAAATATCAACAAAAAACGAGAGCAATACGATTATTAAAATAAAATCCAGTGGTAAATGCAACTGGCCGGCTGTTGTTTGAAAGCTGATTGAGCACACCTGGTACCCTGCTGCATTTGTAAGACATTACCGCTACGAATGCGTTACTTCCAAGTCTTTACTGAGAATTGACCTTCACCCATGGATTTGCACAAGGACATGATGTACAGGTCATTCTATCCGTACGGTAAATGGGAAAGAAGTTGAAAAAACGCTGTATGGTGCGATGCTTATTCATGCAAGTCATTGATCAAATTCTTTCTTTTTTTTAAATGAAAATTGACATTCGATTTTCAATAAAGTACCTTCACCAACCCACCCACTTTTTGAAAAAAATAAATCGAAATACAAAAACATTGACAATTTTGAACGCCCCCAATGTTATTAGTTAGCTTTTGTAATGTCATCAGTTCCCACTTTTCTTTTTAAATGTGCCGCCATTTTGTTTCTCACACTATCTTTGCAGCCATCATTTTGTTTCTGACACTGTTTTCCGCAGAAGTACAAAGGCCCATTGGCCCATCTGCATAATTACACTGTTGGAAAACTGGCTTGTTAAATTTCCGAAGACTTTTTGCTTTTTTTGCCATTTAAGATGATTGCAGATTATCCATGCCGTGACCTTTTCCTTGTCCTTTAAGTGGAAAATATTTAGGAGTTTGTTGTTTAATCCCTGAATAATGCTTCTTTTTAAAAATTAAATGTCATGTAGTTTAAGTTGATAATACCCTTAAAGCTAGTTTGAAATAAATATAAGACAAAACTTTGTCAGATGTCCATTATTATTGAGTATCAAAACACGCCGAATGTGCAAAAACCCGTATTTTCATTTAAACATGTGGCTGTTCTTCGTTTTAAACCCTAAATGCAAAAGAAATGCCGAACTGTCATTGGTTCATTTTTCGCGCCTTACGTTGGGTCTGTTGGTGGAATGCAACGACGTGACCACGTGAGGCGAAGGCCAGCCATTTTGAAATTCAACATGGAAAAGAATCGCTACCCAAAATGTGGATATTTCTTCTTCTTTTTTCCAGCAGTTTGACGGGTAAGCATGCCCAGCTACCATTTTATGAATGAAACGAAGGCTTGGTGTATGTATAGGTTATAATAAACTTCTTCAAGGGGACCGTTTAGGACCTAGTAATGGACTAACGTTTGAGAGCTTATTTTTATAGGCCTCAGGCTCATGAACTTTACACTTGGTATTCAGTTAAGCCTAAAAAAAATGCATATCGTGTCACCAGTGCTGCCTCACACGTACGGGAAGACCCTAGTAAATGACAGGAATGTCAGCTTTTGAGAGTGTACATTAGTGAACGTTTGTGGCTTCTTAATGGAGAATACACAATTTAAGAAACCTTTTTCACCATACAATTGATGAAGGGCAGAAAGCACAAGCCTACATGTACATGTATGGCATACATGCAAATACATGTATGGAGGCTAAATAAGTTGATTTTTTTTGGAAGTGACCTTGGAGAGGATGTCAAGAAATGTTTTGATGTGAGTTTGGATTCCATTGGACTCTGCAATTTTAGTGCAAAGTAAAGAAAAATGATTTGAAGGGGGACTGTTTCGAGATATTTTTGTAATGCAGAACAAACTGATTATTTTGGACGCAAAAATGAATGTGGATTTAAAGTGAGAAGGTCTACATTCATATTTTTGTAAAATCTTTGTTCTTATTCATGCCATTTTTCAATGAATTAAAATGATGAAGTTCACTTGATATTTCACAATTTTTGAAATTGGGAATTAAATAGAGGAGCTACAATGTCCAAAACAAGATGAATTTTAATCACAATTTCCTTATTAAGAAAATATGTTTCCGAAGAAATAGTGCTGTCAGTCATTTATGCATGTTGTTACATGGGAAAAGTGTACCTGCAAAACTGTTATTGAATAATCGAATAAAAGCTGTTCTCTTCAAACTGTGTTCATTTGTAGATTGTGGATAAAATTTGAAAGAATTCCATGAAAAGTGTTCCATATACGGACATCACGAGCTTCCCTGTAAAGAGTTCCATATATACGGACGCCACTTGTCGCCCCTTGCACAAACGCTATGAGGCTGGTCTGAAAAATTCTAAGTATTTTCTAAGGAAAAGACTTGGTACATGTAGGTTCCCTCCAAAATTGAACTTTTCTGGACATTTTTTTGCATTCTGATGGTTAATACGTCATTTAGAAGAATAATCACTGGCCTCTGTACATACTATATTGAACTCTTTCCGTTTCCAGTAGTTTATGAGCCATCAGAGAATAATAAGATTTCCTGAAGTTAGCACTGACAATGTTGAACCATTTCTCAGAAAACACTTAAAACTATGCAGACCAATCTCGCAGGGTTTGTTCACAAGGTGTCAAATGATATCTGGATATCAAACTCCAGTGATGGCTGTTGCCATAAGGGTGGTTTTTCCTTAAGCCACAAACTTTTGAACATTTATTTGCTGTTTCGAATTTCTTGTGTACTTTGCATCCATCTCAGACTTGGTGAATGTTTCTTGTGCTTAACAGAAAACCTCTAGGAGACAAATTATGGTCAGTGTTAGAAAATATACAGTGGGCATTTGGAGTGCAGGAAACTTCAATTAGAGGATGAAAGGAATCCTTTTGTGGTAAATTTGGATAATTTTCTTGTTTCTTTTTTGTATTTTATAAAAACTTCCTTTTTTTTATAAATCAGACAGGATTACCTGGATTCAAAACTGAGAGCAGTGCTGTGGCATGTATTGAGAACAAGGGTCCCAGAGCAGGACTGGAAACCTGAGCTAGCTGAGCAATGTTTCACTAAAAGGTGTATGCTACATGTAGCTATGAAGAGAGATGTGCTCGTACACCTTACAAAAAAGTGAAGCTCTTCATGCAGAGCAACACCTCAGGCTCCAGCAGGCCTAGGCTGCTCCCTTGTAGGCACATTGGCATGGTGAGTATGGCTACCCAGAATTAGAACATTTTGTGACTGGCTTTGTGTGAAAAACGAGCATATACATGTGTATGTTGTGAGTTACAGCCTGAGTAAATGCTAGAGAGTAAATAAATATATTTGTATGTTTCCGACGCCTCATACATGTAAGTCAGATGTTTACGAGCATTACGTTATGAGCTTATGAAGACGGCACTAGGAACAAGACTCGTTCCTGGTGCAAGAATGATGTACTATTTATGACACATATACATGTACAAACATTTTTAAGATTTCAAAAGTTTTAGTCAAAAAAATGCTTTTTATATTTGGCAAAGTATCACACATCATTTTTACATGTAGTGGTATTTTGGATTAAACAAATACTGGACCAGTGTACGAACTGTGCAAATAGTCTGCTTGATTTAGTTTTCCTAACAGGATCAGTACCGTGGGCACGAATAGGGAACAAAGTTGAATCTTGCTGGCAGGGACACGTCGCGTGGGCCTGCACTCCTCCATGTGTCATAGTCAATCGCAATGACGCCTCATTTTAAGTCTGACCCCTCGTTGGTCCGACGTCAGATTTATGAGGCATCGGACCTATGAGGCGTCGGACTTATGATACGGTCCCAGCTTAGGTGATCAATTTTGCAAAGCCATAGTGTAGGGTTCAGGGCCCGCTCAAGGGCACAGGAAATTTGGGCTTCTATATGTTCTCTGGTGCAATCTTGGGGACTTTGCGGACCATTTGCTTCTGTAATTTGGCCCCAAATCTGCTTATATAGTGAAATAGACAAGAATTTTCAGTAACACCGTAGAGCCAATATATACATACGTACTGTACCATAAAACTTGTTTCATTTGTGGTGCATATATATATATCTAACAGCATAACTCTACTGATTCTGCTAATGAGTCGCACCTGGTGGCCTTCATGAGGCTTCTGCAAAAAATTAATATGACGTATTGGGATAAATACACCCTCAGTAAGTTTATGCAGAAAATGTAAGTTTATGATGAAAATTGTATGGTGTGTATTTATTCAAAATGCCATGGACATCGTCAGCATACATTACAGGCTGAGTTTGAAAAGATGCCTTCTTTTGTAAAAAAAGATGAATGTGGTAATTTTTGTCATGGGAATTTTATTTGCATAGTCAGATTTTAAACTCCGAGTAGTCAGCTGGTGTAAGTAGAATTGTCTGGCTGTTTTTATTTCTGAAAAAAAATTGTGTTCAAAGTTTCTGACAATCTGCACTAATTTATATAACGGGTTTTGCCCTTACCCAAGTATATAATATATATACGTTGGGTAAGGGCAAAACCCGTTATATAAATTAACATCTCCCTAACGCAATAATACATCTTGAAAATCTGCACTAAGCTTTAATACAAGTAGGGCTGTACTGGTGACAGTTAAAAGACGAATTTCAAAATAGAGACATGATGTGAGGCCCTACTTGTACATGTATGTGTGGGGCTAAGTTGTGCCCACTGCCCATGTCAGGTGCATGTCGAATTGCTATGATAACGATTCTTTAATCCTAGCCCTCCTCAATCCTTCACCTGTTGGAGGACTAAGGAGTGTTAGGGTTAAGTTGTTGTTCATTGAGTGTAAGAGCAGCCATGCCGTTACAATTGTTTGTAACCAGATTGAGGACTCAGAGGGGGAGAATTTATAATTATCACAACTAAAATCCATTTCAATATTGCCCACCATCTTGTTTTGCTCCATGCATCCTAATCATGGATGCCTTCAGTGTGGTCCAACAAGCGTCACTCACGTGGACCAACATGCCACGGGCATGGAGAAATTGGCCCTTAGCATGCGCCGCGGCGCAACCACCTACCAGGCTACCAGTTGGGTTGCAGCGTTCGAGCTACATGTAGCTACTCGTGTTAATTATCCCAGCTCACATGCGGGGAGTAGCCGTATACTGACATCAGATGATGTGCCATTTCTTAACTAACTCAGAAAGGATGCAGTGTAAATATCGTGCTTTTATTTCATTCACATCTCAAAAAAAGGGGGACTCATCCCCCCCGGTGCATGCCGACGGCCATCAATGAAATGCTGTCACAGTTATTTTGTATTTTCCTCCCACAGATACATGTACAAGATATGTCACAGGTAGACTGATCACAAGAAACAAGAGTCCCTTCTTGCAAAAGTCTACAGCCTTTTGCTATTGGGTAAGTCAGATACAACTATTGGGCTCACTCCATCAGAACCCAAATATGTGCAACCAACTGTAACCAAATGCATTTTGCTACTTGAATCACCCTTGGAGCATTACAGTGCCCATCAGTGTGTGTAGTTATGCCCGTACAGGGTCCACTGAGTGCAGAAATGCATGTACTGTTTACCCTATAAAATGCAGTGTATCTCTTGCAGTATTTGTCAGTGGAAATTGCAACATATTCCTTGAAACCATCAAAATGAGATTGATTGTGTTGGTGAATTTGGCGTAATTTCAACTTTAAAGGCTCTCCAGCTTAGGGCAGCACACAAAAAAGACAATCTGTTGTACACAACATTGTAAAAAATTTGACTCAAGTGTTCTACTCAAGTTAGCTGCCTAGATCAGCATTATTGGTCTTCTCAATGGAAAAGTTCTCAGATGCTGAACTTTTTAACTTGGACGGCATTTCAAGATGTACTTTGCATAAGGGAGATGTTAATTCTTAATTTAATGACGGGTTTTGCCCTTATTCACCGACATATTTTTGGTGGGTTCTAGTCTCACCCGAGTGAGATTGTACATTTTTTGCAAGCTTTCGGACAAACACTGTAAATAGAGTGATGAATATATGTTGGAGTAAGCTTAGGCAAAACCTGTTATTAAAAATTGGATAGCATTGTTGGTGTGCACAGAGTTTTGATGGAGTGGGCTTCATAATTTTTTCCCTCTTGAGAAAAATACTGTAATGATACGCTAGGAAGTTTTTGGAAGGAGGGGTATGTGGTAGACAGTGACTGTAATTGTGCATTAATTATTTAATAGGCTACAACAGGGAGTGGTCTTTCAAACAGCAGAATTGAAATGATAATCTATATTATTCATAGTTTTTAAGTACAACATGATATGTGATCCTGTTGTAGTGGATCACACAGTCTGACCAACCTTTCAATGCCTCCAGGGCCCATTACAAGGCAAAAGTATCAGCTACATGTACATGTAGCACTGAATATGAAATTGGACGATCAAAAATAAATTCATTTGGAAGGTCATATGTTAACATGGCAGCGTACATAGTTCATCTTTGACTGTGTAAACCGCACAAGTGCATCAAGTGTACTTAGAAGGGGCAAGCACAGGGTTCCAGCCTAGTGCGTCAAATTATCAGCTGAGGTAAATGTAGAAAGCAATGGGTAATACATACATCCCGTATTTCACTGCACTTATGATACAATTCAGAAACATTATGTCAGCCATACAAGAGCTGTATTGGCTAATAATGTTATCAATGGACGATGCAAAACGGCAGCAATTTTGATTGGATGCCCAAGGCAAGGCTGAAAACTGCTGAACTTGCAAACTTGGCTTTGCCTTTATTCTGCCCGGTGACGCTGCAACCACCAAGAGAACGTGCTTGCTTAATTTGTGTGGTCACCTGCCTTTAATTGAGTCATAGTCAGTGTTCTAGCCATGATGGGTGACGCCGGCACTGGCACCACCCGGCACTATAAATTTTCCCCCAGCTCTTGGGTTCAAATTGGCTGTGCCATCCAGCATGGATTTTCAAAAAAATGAACTGAAATATTGCTAAAGATGTACCAATTTGATCATATTTCAAGCTTACAAAGTCGCAGTTTTGCACTATTTTGCAATTTTAAACAAGTAAAGACATAAGAAAAATATTTCTCATTTACTTTGTATCAAATCAGCTGCAGATTGCAAAAGCATTATTGTAGACATACCTTCACAATGACGTTGGGGAAAATCCCTTCTAGGATTCCCTTAAAAACCCAGCTATGGGCTGTGAGAGCTCTGCTTACTGTGCTTGCTACCCTTTGTAACCCAAAAATTTACCTGGCACTGAAATGGTCCTCGATAGAACACTGGTGTAGCACTTCTTTGCTGCAGTAGAATTTTGCCAGATCCACAAGTTTTTGCAAATCTCGATTAAAAAGTGGCAGTTGATATGCTCAGTAAAAAGACTGCAAATTTGCCCTTGGCCATGTTGATGCATACACTGTGCTGTAATGACCAAGCTAATGGAAGCTGTCTGGCTGGGAAAGAAAGACTTGATATCAAGTTCTAGTGGATGCAAAGCCATAAGCTAGTTGTAGAATCTTTTTTGTGCAAACTTAACAAAATGACATGATTTCCTCCTAGATCTAATTTAGTCACATTCTATAAACTTTCTGGCTGAATTTTTTTTGCATAGTTACATACATGTATCCTTAGATAGTTTGTTCAAATACGGTCAAAACATCCACTGCGGTCCAGCAAAAAGTGGTGAAAAATGTCAGATGTTCAACTGCATTCTGTCCTTGGAGTTTAATTCCCAGTAAACATTTCCAAGCTTAAAGGTTAGCTCCTCTTCACTTTGCCAAAGCCTCACATGCTTGGTGTCTCTGGAACTAGCAGGGTGAAGGCAGGTGCAGTGATAATGTGAGTAGGGCTGTGCCGAATATCCGAATAACCAAATATTTGGTCGATTGTCGAATATTGGAATATTATTTTTGGAGTTCAAATATTCGAATGCAAAATTCATGAAAAGTAAGAGAAACTTTCCTTTTGTTTTAAATGAGAAACATTGCACTATGAAGGCTTTGTTTCAAGCAGATTCAAATAAAACGAAAGGCATCTGAAATCTTACGATTTTAAAAGTAAATTACTCTTTAAACAATTTAAAGGAATAGAAAATTTCAACGGCTATATGTCTTGTTCATCTCTTAAATCTTGCTAAATCATGGCTGCATGGAGATACTCCTAGATGTGAGAAGCTATGATGTTGATCAAAATGTACAAATGTGTTTGTTATTGCAACCGATTTTGTGTATGGTTTGTTCATCAACAATCTGCCGGTTGGTACAACCGAATATTTGGATATTCGATCAAAATGAAGGTTGAATATTCAAATAGTGAGTTATTCAAATTGACTCAGCCCTATGAAAAACAGGGACAGCATACGTAATCCAAGTTCATGTAGTGGTTGTGGGCGATATTGCAATTCACAGTACAATATTGTCTCAAAGATAAGATCAGAGTCACCTTCTTTCTGAAGGAATATCAAATATCTGCAATCATTTTTTTAATATCAACAATTTTTTTCCATCCAGTGAGTTTCCAGAAAAATTACAGTACTTTGTTTCATTGATTTCCATCGATCAACTCCATCTTGCTGTAATATGTACATGGACATTCATGTGCATTTGCTTCATGTGCAGCAATAGCTAGTTCAAACGAGTGTATGTCTTTGTTGCGTACTTGTAGATGTAAGAAGTGTTCATATTTATTAGGCATGTTCCACTTCGTCATATTTACAGGATTTTGTAGGAGTATCAAACCAAACTTTTTGTCGGTAAGATTTGTCCTTCCCAAAGTTATTCTTTTTATAACACTTTACAGTGATTTATTTTTCTGTTTTTTTAATAAATACATGTACATGTACCACCGCATTATACCTTATTTTCTACCAGGCTGGAAACTGACTAATAAATGTATTACAAACCAAATACTTTACCTTCCTTTACATGTACCTTTGCCATATCCTTTTTGGCAGTTCACTCTAGAACTGTCCAAAGGCTTCCTTCATTGAAACAATCTATAAAATTTGCATGTTACTCTCAAACTGCTTCTCAGCAACATCTTTAACTCTAAAACTTGGCAAATATATTGTTTTGCAACTGCTATCAATTTTTCCATAGGTATGCTTTTTCTTCTGTCTTTTTTCTTTTCTAACAATTATATGAACAATTTTCAAGAATATAACTTCACTTGAAGTTCAACCACTTCTGGTTGTACTTGATTATAGAATGTTGAAGTAGAATATTAAGGTTTCTATTGTAAAGAAATGTTACAATTGTTTCATCATTGCCAGAACCCAAGGTTGCAGTCCTGCATCTTTAAAGAATGATAAACTGATTTTGAGAAAGCGAAGCTGCAGCAGATGCTTTTCTGGACTTTGTACCGTTAGCACTTGGGACATTGGAATCGTTGTTGATTTTTTGGCTTCATAGCATGAGTAGGTGTGTCTCTGGGTGTGTATTGGCATATAAGCTTGTTGGTTAAACGTTTTGGTGCCAACATGCAGTAATGAATTCATACCCAATAGCCCCGTGTTTCCTTACGGAGCCGCAAGTCTCCAAAATAATGATTTTTCCCAAGTAAACTGCTTAAAACATTATTTTTTTTAATTAAGGAAATTTCCAGTAGTATGGTAATTTTTTAAAATGAAGAGAAAGTCCAACAAATATCCTTTTAAAAAACACTTTAACAAAATGCCTCCAGAGTGTTGATTACTTTTTTTGCCTCACATTGGCAGTGAGACAGTTTGCAGGCTTTTTCTAATAGCTGTTGCAAAACACTGCATGGATGAACAAAAAGTTCATAAATTTTGCTCAGCTTCTAAATGACAGGTCATCTGTCTCTTTTCCACTTTCCTAATCCCTCAAATCACAATTTAGCTGCAGCTTCTCATTACAAATTTTCACCCTTTACTAACTTTACTTACATGTACTTTAGAGGATGAAACAAAACTCTGGCTGACTTTTCAATTTATATCATATCTTAATCTTTTTAAGTCAGAGTTAACATCTGCCTTCGAGTCTTTAAACCCAATGTACTGACTTTTTCCTGTGGCTCTAGGTATCTGACCAAACTTCAGTGATTAAATCATCTTCTAGCTTTGCCTGTTTGTGACAAGTAAAATCAACCTGACAGCTTGTGGTATAAACACACAGGTCATTGGAAATGTTCTTTAATTCTTGCCACAAGAACTCGATGAGAAGGCTCTTAAGTGGTACTTCCAGATCATACCTTTTCTTAGCTTGAAACATGGGCCACTTGTTTCCTTTTAAGGAGATTCTCCCAAACCCGTACATGTACTGTATACATGTAGATCTGTTCCTTTCCTCACTTTCCTGCAGTTTGCTAGTACTATGAGTCAGTAAGGGGAAAGTGTAGCAACTTCTCATTTTTCTTGCGCTCCCTGCTCTGTGTATACAGGCAGAGCACTGTTTC